TCACTCACATTCTCACACTTGCTCACACACTCACATCTCACACTCTTCACTGCTCACACTCACTCACATTCTCCCACACTTGCTCACACTCACTCGCTGCACACTTCACACACTTGCTCCTCACTGCTGGCTTCACTCACATTCTCACTTGCTACCACTCGCTACCACTCACTCACATTCTCTCACACTTGCTACCACTCACTCACATTCTCTCACACTTGCTACCACTCACTCACATTCACACTTGCTACTGCTACACTCACTCACATTGCTACCACTCACTCACATTCTCTCACACTTGCTACCACTCACTCACATTCTCTCACACTTGCTACACTCACTCACATCTCACATTCTCACTCACTGCTACCACTCACTGCTACCACTCACTCACATTCTCTCACACTTGCTACCACTCACTCTTCTCACACTTGCTACCACTCACTCACATTCACACTTTGCACACTTGCTTGCTCGCTACTCACTCACACTACACTTGCTACCACTCACTCACATTCTCTCACACTTGCTACCACTCACTCACATTCTCTCACACTTGCTACCCTCACTCACTCACACACACTGGCTCACACTCACTCTTCTCTCACACTTCATCACTTCTTCTCTCACACTTGCTACACTCACTCACATTCTCTCTCACACTTCACACACTTGCTACCACTCACTCACATTCTCTCACACTTGCTCACACTCACTCACATTCTCTCACACTTGCTACCACTCACTCACATTCTCCACACTTGCTCAGCTACACTCACATTCTCTCACACTTGCTACCACTCACTCACATTCTCTCACACTTGCTACTCACTTCACATTCTCTCACACTTGCTACCACTCACTCACATTCTCTCACACTTGCTACTCACTGCTACTCACTCACTTCACACTTGCTACCACTCACTCACATTCTCTCACACTTGCTACCACTCACTCATTCTCTCACACTTGCTACCACTCACTCACATTCTCTCACACTTGCTACACTCACTCACTCTCTCACACTTCCACTCACTCACATTCTCTCACACTTGCTACCACTCACTCACAACACTTGCTACCACTCACTCACATTCTCTCACACTTGCTACCACTCACTCACATTCTCTCACACTTGCTACCACTCACTCACATTCTTCACACTTGCTACCACTCACTCACATTCTCTCACACTTGCTACCACTCACTCACATCTC